AGGACCCAGGCACGTGGGCTGTAAACCCCAGACCAAGGTGCCCTGCCCTGGGGCTGCCCCAGGAGACGCCGTCCTCCCCTGGGCATCACCTCCTGGCCTGGCTGCAGAGCCTGGGCCCTTGTTGGGTGGTGGGGGCAGGAGGGGTCCGCTGGCAGGGCTGGCTAACCTCTGGCTCTGCCTCAGTTTGCAGCTCAACAGCCTGGGCCCCGATGCCTGCCAGGTGATCCGGGACCTGCTCCTGCACGACAAGTGTGCGGTGAGCTCGCTGAGGTGAGCACTGGGGGCGGCAGCCCCTGCCCGGGTGTGCAGGACACAGTAGCCCCCGTCTCAGGTGGTGGGGAAGGCCTCTGAGCCCTGGGACATGAGCAGGGAAGCCCGGCCCCTCCCGCCGTGACCTTCCCGCTCCCCCCAGGCTCTCCGACAACCCGCTGATGGAGCAGGGGGCGCAGCACCTGGCCGAGGCCATCGCCGGCAACCGCTCGCTGCGGCACCTGTCGCTGCTGCACACCTCGCTGGGGGACCGCGGCGTGGAGCTCGTGGCCCGCAGCCTGGCCCAGAACCAGCACCTGCAGGAGCTCAACGTGGGCTACAACGCGGTGACGGACGAGGCGGCCCTGGGGCTGGTGGAGGTGGCCAAGCAGCACCCGACGCTGGATAAAGTGCAGTGAGTCCCCAGGCTCCTTGTCTCCCGCTCAGCCTAGGCATCGCGGACCACCCTGGTAGCACTCCTAGGCCAGCTGCTCCTTCTGGTGCCCCCTTGTTGCCCCTTGCTCGGGGCTGAGCTACCAACTGCCCCTCATTAGCTACTGCCCCCAGCCCCACAATCTCCCTGGCCCCACTCCTCTCCCGTGGGGCCCTGTCGATGGCCCATCTCCTTCCCCAGGGCTGCGAGGACCGCAGCCGACGTCCCCCTTGCCCGTCTCCTCCCCAGGGGCCCCGAGGGCGGCGTCTGCCGCTCCCCCACCTCACCCTGCCGTCCTGCTCCCCCAGCCTGTACTTCAACGAGATCAGCGAGGAGGGCAAGCGGGCGCTGCAGGGCCTGCGCACGGACCGCGACGGCGTCAAGGTGCTGGTGTTCCTCACCGTGGGCGTGGACGTGTCCAGCTACTGGCGCCACATCCTGAGCGTGGCCCGGACGAACCTGCCCGTGTGGGACCGCGACCGCGTGCAGCAGCACCTGGCCCTGCTGCTGCAGGACCTGCAGAGCAGCCGGCGCCAGACCCGCAACCCCTGGAAGAAGGCCAAGCTGTGGCGGGTGGAGCGTGAGGTCAAGGGGATGCTGAGCAAGATCCAGCAGGGGGCGCTCTGAGCCCCGCCCGGCCCTCGCAGGCCTGTGGGGGGGGCACAGGGAGGCTCCCGCAGTGCCGTGAGTTTGTGAGGCCTCAGCTCAGCTGCAGCTCCGGAGAGCAGAGGCCACTGCAGCTCCCTGCCACGCTCCACACGGTGCTGTTGTGCCCACCGTGGGGCTCTGCCCTCGTCCACACCCTCACATGCCTCGTGGCCAGACCTGGTGCTAGAGAAACACCTCCCCTCCCTCTTCCCCAGCCACCCCAGACTAGGCCCTAGCAGCGCCCTCATGTGATGGCATCATGAGTCCCGGGGGTAGCCATAACCCTGCTCCCCCGGGCTGTCCCATGAGCCCAGCTGGTGCCCGCTTGCCCAGCGCCCGCTACCCCTCACCATGCTGCAGCTGAGCTCGGTAGGGGCTGGGCATGGCATTGGCCCCTGGGCTGCCAGGTGGGCAGAGGTCCCAAGGAAGGGGGCTGGGGCCAGGGCCGGGCCGTACTCTGTACCAACCCACCTCCAACTTGAGCTGTCCTGAGAGTCCTTGAAACAGCAGCCCCCGGCCGGGTTGAGCCAATATCCGGGCGCGTGCCCGTGCCCAGCTCCGCTCCACATCCTATATAGACCGGGGCAGCATATGGCCCATGGGGGAAGGCCTGGGAAGGGCAGGAATGGTGCTGGATGAGGCCTGCGTGTCATTAAAGCTAAGCCATGGTGCTTCCACTGCATGCGTTATCCCAAACCCGCTCTGTTCAGCTGCCCGCAGGGTCCCAATGGCGGGATGGGGTGGCTGCTCTGGGCTGGCTGGGGGAAGGGGCTGCCCTGCTGTGATGGGCTGTGAGGGACATCGGGCTTCGGAGGCTGTTGCAGGGGCTGGAGCCGCCCCCGGAGCTCAGTGGGGCAGGAGCAGCATGGGGGCAGGATGGGCTCGGGCAGGAGGAGCCCTGCTGGGTAAGGCAGCTCCCAGCAGGGTGCGGGCACTGGGGAAGGACCTGGGCATCTCGTTGCCATTAGGCTGTGCTCCAGGTCAGCCCTCGGCAGGCTGGGAGCAGGGGCTGACAGCCCAGACGCCTGGGTTTCAGCCCTGCTCTGCCCAGGCCGTGCTGGGTGCAGCGGGTTCACCTGAGCTGGGGATAAGCTGGCAGCTCCACAGTGGGTGTGAGCGATGGGGCGCGGAGACTTGGGGCAGTTTAACGATTAAACCCTGGCGTCTTGGAGCAGGCAGAGGGCTGGGCCTGCCACTTCACACTGGACCTTGCCCCCTTCTCCCCCAGCTCTCCCACAAGCCATGAAGCAGACGGGAGGTGAGCCGGGGCCGGGGGCATGGGTGAGGGGCTAGCTCGGTCGCAGCTGCAGCCGCCTCCTTAGCATGAGCGCCTGGGTTTGCTCCTGCAGAAATGGGTGGCGGTCTCTCATTCGGGGGCTCCAGGCAGACAGTTCTCCCACCGCACAGAGCAAGGGGTCCCCTGGGGAACTCGGGGAGGCCTCCCTGGGTAACACCCAGGGGCTAATCTGGCATCCAAACCTGGCCCCTTTCCTAGGGTCCCACCCTCCTCCTAAATCTCCTCTGATCCCACAGTGGCCTATAGCCGAGACCCACCCCCACCCCCCAGCTCTGGGCCCCAGCTGCTCCTTTCTGTGCTCACGGTAGCCGGGGCTCACGCTTGCTGCCTCCCCTTCCTCACTTTGGCTGGCTGCCGCAGCACGGGGCTGGGTCACAAGTCCCAAGCGGACCGGGGCGAGCGGGTGGCCCCCAGGGTCCCCGTGCTGTCTGTGCTGCTGCCTTAGCACTTGCTGGCTGGAGCCGTGGCGGGGCTGAGACTTTCGGGGCTGCCCCAGCCCTGCACTAAGTCGCGACGCGCTGCTGCGGAGGCCAGAGGTGCTGGCAGTTGTTGGGCTGGGGAAATGGAGCGTGTGTGTGCACATGCATGTCCCTGCATGCTGGGGCATGTTGCACCAGTGTCCCTCCTGCCTGCGGCTCTGCAGGTCTCCCCACCCAGACAGACCATAGCCGGCTGTCCCCAGGGCTGGGCTGTGGATCTGGACCAGGGTGGAGAGCTCCCTGGGCTGGTTTTGTGCCCAGCTAGATTGCACTCAGCTTGCTGCCCTGGACAGGCCGGGAGAGGGGGCCAAGCTGGCTGCGGCTGTGAGAAGCTGCCAGTCTGACTCCAGCCTTCCCTTCGCAGGCCTCGAGGACACCAAGGACCTAGTCCTGTAAGTACCAGCTGCTCCCACACCTCAGCTCTGGGGTCCCCTATAGCACCGCGCAGGGGGGACGATCCTTCTATGGCCATGTGGGTCTTTGCAGCTGCTAGGGCCAGTGCAAGCATCATGGGCATGGGGGGGACCCTGGATCGCTGCAGGCACTGCAGGAGCTGGGGGGACCCGTTGGGCTGGGCCACGGGGCAGGCACAGGGTCTAGGGCTCCAGCCTGGCTTCCCGTTGTGTCCTCGCAGGAAGTTCACGTTTAACCCCAAGGATGGGATCGACAACCCAGCTCTGTCGCTGGCTGAGGACACAGGTAAGGGCCTCTGGGGCGGTCTGGCAGCACGGAGACAGGGGACAGCGGCCCAGTGGCGAGCTTGGACTGTCTGGCCCCTGCCAGCTCCATCCTCTCTTATTTGGACTCTGGGCACGAACAAATGCAGACCACGCAGACCAGCCCCGCAGGATCACGCCAGGGCATACATGCATGGACACTCACGTGCTGTGTGCACACGGCAACCCAGGCAGGGCTGGATGTGTTCTGGACTATGGGAATATATGAGCCTACCACTCAGGTTGCCCACAGCTGCATCTGCGCCCAGACATGGGCAAGCATGGCTATGGGTGCACACGTATGCATGGGGCACGGGACCTGCAGGCACGTGTCAGCCGGAGGGAGTGGGCTGAGATCCCCCAGGGCAGGACTCCAGTGTCCAGTCCTTGCGTCCCTGCAGGCTCCCATGGCCCGCCGGCCCCTGCTCAGGGTTGGGGGCAGGCTGGGCACCACACCACGCTCCCTGCCTCTGCTCCCGTGCAGACAGGGACAGCGAGGGACAGCCCCGCTTCTACCTGCTGAGCCGCAGCCCCAGCGAAATCTTTGGCTTCTACCTGCGCACGGAGCTGGGGCACCCCGGGCACGTCATCCGACAGCTGGAGCCGGGGGGGCCAGCCCAGCGCCAGGGCCTGCAGGATGGCGACCGGCTCCTGCAGGTCAACGGTGAGGATGTGGACAGCATGGAGCATCTCAGGGTATGCCGGAGGCTTGCGGCAGGGGGAGGTTGCATTGCTGTGCAGCTTGAGGGCCCTCCCTAAGCCTGGAGGCTCCAGAACCCCATGCCCCAGCTTCCAGGCATCGCTTCAAATCCATTAGCACCCGAAACAAGTTTGCTGGGTCTCAGCCCAGCTCCCAGAAGCCAGCCCTCCCCCTGGTGCTCCCTGGCCCTAGCTGCCTGCCCCACCGGGAAGCCCACGGTGTCAGCCATGGGGCAGCGGCCCTAGGAGCGCCCCTCCAGGGCAGGACTGAACTCCCAGGTGTGGCAAGGCTGGGAGGTGAGCCTGGGCCTTGTCCCTGGTGAGTGGTGCCCCCGGCCCCAGTGGCAGGACTGACTGCGCAAGGGGCTCTGTGGCAGGTGGTGCAGAAGATCAAGGCCAGCGGGACCCAGGTGTCCGTGACCGTGCTGGATGGCAGCACCTACAAGGTGGCGAAGACCCTGGGCAGGGATGTGGGCGCGATGCTGCCGGGCATCACAAGGCCGCGCCTCTGCTACATCACCAAGGACAAGAGCAGCTTTGGCTTCAGCGTGTCCGCTCCAGAAGGTAACGGGGGCTGCGGGGCACTGCCGGCACCTCCTATGCTTCAGCTCTGGTCCCCAGGCTGTGCGCTTCCCCGCTGCTGTGCTGTTAGGAGCCAACGTTACCCCCGGTTCTGCCGCCCCGCAGGTGTGAAGGGCACGTTCCGGCTGTCCGTGGTGCGTCACGGGCCGGCCGATAGGGCAGGGGTGCCTGATGGCTCCTGCCTCCTGGAGCTCAACGGGGCCAGCGTGAAGAACTGCTCCTACGCTCAGCTCAGCCGGAAGGTACCTGCCCAGCCTGGTGCCCGCGTGGAGGCTGTGCCACGGGGAGGACGCCTTGAGTGTTGTCTCCCTCCTGCCTTTCATGATGCCTTCCCTGCCTCTGCCCTGCCCCTCGGCTGCTGCTCTGATCCCCCACCCTGGGCAGCCGCTAAGGGCCCCTGCTACCCACCTCCCTGTCCCCTTCTGTATCCGTCCTTTCCCGTTCCCATGTCTGCTGGTCCCCAGCCCCAGTCACGCCACCCTAGATCTGAGGTCCAGGCACCAGCTCAGTGCAAGGTACCAGGCAGCCTTGGGGCCAAAAGTCCCTTGTCCTGAAGTTCCCCCCGACCAAATCCCCTCTCGGGGACAGGCTCCTGTGGGTGTTCAATGCAGGTACTGTGCTCAGGCGTGTCTGGCGGGGAGCATGGGGGGCTGCGAACCCCATCCGCAGGCTCCCATCAGGCTCCCTCTGCTCGTTCCCCCCGGCCCAGCTGAAGCAGAGTGGGGGCCAGGTGACGCTGCTGGTGCTGGACGCGGCAGACGAGGAGCTGTGCCGCCACCGGGGCCTGCGGGTCACGGCCGCCATGGCCGATGCCTCCCGCCTGCCCTTCCGGGTTAGGAAGCTGCACATGGTGAAGGGCCCCAAGGGCTACGGGTTCCTGCTCCAGGAGGAGCCAGGCTGCAGCACGGGCACCGGTAAGGGGCTGGTGGCGGGAGCAGAGGGCTGGGATCCAGGGGCAGCCGGGCTCAACCCTGACACTGGCTGTGTGGGGGGCCCTGGGCATGTCCCTCCTTCCTTCATGCCTCAGTTTCCCCTCTCTCCAACCTCCCTCCAAGGGGACACTGGTGCATGGGTGCCTTTGGGTTGTCTCTCTCTTTTCTCCCCACACCCTCCAGGGCAGTTCCTGCGGGAGGTGGATGTGGGGCTGCCAGCTGAGCGGGCAGGCATGAGGGAGGGCGACCGGCTGCTGGCAGTGAATGGCAAGAGCGTGGAGGAGCTGGACCACCAGCAGATTGTGCTGCTCATCCGGGCCAGCGGCCCCCAGGTGATGCTGCTGGTCATCGATGCCCAAGGAAATGCCTTCTTCAATGCAGTACGTCCCAAGGGGCTGGCCACGTGGTCCCAGCCCTGTGGGGTCACCAGTGCCCCTGGCAGAGGGGGCCGGGGCATATCTCCAGCCAAGCCCCTTGGCTCTTCCAGATAGGGCTGTCCCCGCTGCTCTTCTACGAGGACCAGGACACTGCATCGGGCACTCACGCCTCCTCTCCCGGCCTGCCCCACCCCCCCTGCTGCAACCCCCATGCCGGGGGGCCACAGGACATCACCACGCAGGTAACAGCACCTGACAGGGGCAGCTCCAGGACTGTGCCCAGCCCAAACCCACCTGGCCCCTCTGACAGCTTGGATGCCCAGCCCCATACCCCGGTCTGCCCTCCTGCCCCCAACTGATTTCCCAGTTTGAGCTGCTGCAGTGTGTGGGGGCCTCGGTTTGGGAGCCAGGACTCCTGGGTGCTGTTCGTCCCAGGGCGGTCTGGGGTCAGAGCCAGAGGCTCCCTGCCTCACCCACCAGTGGGTCACCCTGGAGAGGGGCACGGGGGTTTCTGAGCTGCGGGCCTGCTCTCCCCAGGCAGTTCTGGGGGCAGCCAGGGATGCAGTGACCCTGGTCAGGGGCAGGAAGGTGGAGCAGCAGGTGGCAGAGAGCAGCCCCCAGTTGATGCTCCCAGAGGGGGAGCAGGGTGGATGCCGCAGCTCCTGGGACCCCAGCCTCCTTGCTGCAGCCAAGCGTGCCCATGCTGGGGAGGCTGCTGCTGGGACCGTGACCCTGCTGGGCTCTGGGCAGGTTAGTGTGGGAAGCCCAGACCCCTCCTGCTACTCCAGATCCCCCGCACGTGCATTACCCCGGGGCAAGGGGCTCTGCGGAGGGTGTGGAGCTGGGGGGGCCTGGGCAGCCCCTGCCTGTAGCCATGGCCTCTGAGACTCAGCAGCTCTCACCTGGTGAGGGGGCTGTCCTCAGAAGTGGGAAGGGGACAAGTTTCCAAGCAGAGGGGGATTGGGTCATGCCAGGGCTTTCGGTTCCTCTGCTCCTGCCCCTTGCCCTTGCCCTTCCCCAGCTGAAGCACAGCCCTGCGCTGCCCAGCAGGGCTCTGGGGCAGGTGGAGCTGCTGGGGGCTGCCCTTCCTCTGTGCCATACAGGCATCACCATGGGAGGGCCCAAAGGAGATGAGTCAGTCGCTGTAGCTGCTCTGCGGCCCCCAGCTCTGCAGAGCCCCCGGCGCACGCTTTGCACACACGTTGCACTCAGATTCCTTCCCTGGCGGCACGTCCCAGCGAAGGGCTGCACTGACCGGCTTGGAGCACAGGACATCCTGGCGCAGGAGCAGGGCTCCCCGGTGTCTCCGGGGACAGCGGTGGCTTTGCCTGGGAGGGCACCCCTGGAAACCACCCAGCAGCGGCACATTGATCGCTAACAGGCATGGTTGCCCTGCTTGGAGCTGGAAGACAAGCCTGGCTTTGCCCACTTGCTGCTCACACACAGAGGAGACGGGCTCAGAAGCAGCGAAGCCACTGCAGTCCTGACTTTACTCACAACCCTGCCCGGCCCTGGGGACCCAGCTGGCAGGAGGAGAGGAGAACAATTTGGGTGGGGGGGAATGGGACCGTGGGGCCAGCTCCTTGGCTCCTGGCATCAGCCCCGTGGGGATGGGACCTGACCTGGAGGGGCTCTGGTCTGGTCGGCAGAAGGAGCTGGCTTGGGTCTACAGGGACGGGCCGACAGGGAGCACCTGACCCCCGACATGGTGCCTGTTTCTGCAGAAGATGGGGAGAGCCTGTCCCTTCCCTGCAGCGAGCCCTGGTGCAGCATTCCCCCACCCCCTGCAATCATGTCATGCAAGCAAAGCCCAATTAAATCACCTGAACCGCTGATCACTGCAGCAGCCTTGAACCTGCAGGAATGATCTCGGGGTGAGGCAGGCCTCAGCAAAGGCCCCGGGCTCCCTGCTGCAGGGAGCTAGCTCTGCCCTGGGCTCTGGAGGGAGGTCCGGCTGCCTGACCGCCACACCGGGCACTGCCCCAGCTTGGGAGAAGGCCTAGGGGACCATTGCTGTGTGCTGCTGCCCGGGGCCTGGCAGAGTTGGGCATTGCCCCTGCCCCTGTCTCTGTGCCAGGCCGGGCGCTACATCTCCAGGGGGTTGAGGCCAAAGTCTCGCAGCCTCTCCTTGTTCTCCATGTGGATGGCCGTGGCTTCCTGCTCCCAGTGCAGCTTTGCAGAGGCCAGCTTGGCCAGGACACCATCCAGGCTGCCCTGTGGGGACAGGGGGGAGTCAGGCACAGTGGGATGTGTGCATGGGTGTGTGGCAGCAGGCAGTGGCCCAGAAGCCTAGACACCAGGGTGAGGGGCATCCCCATACACACAGCTTTTGTGCCTCCAGGTCACTGCCCTCCTCTCCCCATGTCTGGGAGCAGGAGGCAGCAGGGGACTCCATGAGCTTCCCTGCCCTTTCCACTGGCACCTGGGGGGTCCAACCTCATCGCCACCGCCCTGCAGGGTGACTCACGTGCAGGATCTGCTCATACTCAGTCTTCATGGTGTCGATCTTGGCCTGCAGCTCGGTGAGGCTCCGGTCTTTCTCGCCCAGTGCCCGCTGACTCTCCTCCCGGGCCTGCTGGCTCTCCTGGCGGCACACAGCTGCAGGGGGATGGGGGTGAGAAGGTGCAGGGCTGGGGGCTGAGCAGCTGCCGGAGGCAATAAGGGGTGGCAGGAGTGGGGGAGACTGCGGGAGCTGGAATGAGCTGGCGTGTCGATGTCCCAGCGTGATCCACAGGCATCGGGCACAGGGTCTAGTCTGACATCTCTGGCAATGCCTAGCGAGGTGGTGCTGCTAGGGAGAAGAACCCACCATGGCAGGGAGAGGGGGGATTTGTACCGAGCTGCTCCTGGAGCTGTGTCACCTCGGCCTCCAGGCACTGGATGCGAGTCTCTGTCTGCCGCTGCAGCTCCTGGTACTGCCGGATCATCTCTGCGGGGAGAACAGGGCTGAGCCTAGCTGCCAGAGTCAAGTCCCTGGCTGTGTCACTTATACACCAGGCACACAGGCCACTAAGGGACTTGCCCGTGGCCACCCAGGAAGCCTGTGGCACACCATCCCCAGTTCCCAGGGCCCGTGAAACCCCATGGGGGGGCAGAGCTATAGCAGTTCTGCAGGGCAAGGAGGGATGGGGGGCTCCGTAGCTAGGTGGGGGTGACTGGGGGTAGCCTAGGGTGGCACGATGATGGCAGAACGGCTCGCCTTGCAGGGCCCTGCATGGAACGGAGCCAAAGGGAACACAGGGCAGCCCATGGCACTGCTCCCAGCCTGCTGAACCCAGCCTGGCGTCCCCTGCACGCCTACCAGCTCTGACCCACCTTCATAAATGTCCCTCTTGTCCTCCCGCGCTGCATCCAGCTCCTGCTCCAGCTCCTGCAGCCGCAGCTGCAGCCCCTCGCTGTCCGCCTTCGCCTGCCTGGCCACATCCCTCCGGAGCACTGGAAGTGACCGGCGGGTTAGGACCCCGCCCTGCACTCTCTTCTTGTCGGCCGACCCCGGCCAGATGCTGGCAGCATTACCCTGGCACAGCTGCCGGGAGCAGCCACGGGCCCCTCCTGGCTTGGGGGTGGGTGCTGGCTTGGACCCTATGGGGCTGCAGGGGAAGCCCACAGGTGGTGTCGGTGAAGACCCTCAGCTGGGTGACCATGGGACCAGCGGTGCTCCCAGCAGCGCAGGGAACTGCTGCGGTTGTGAGAGTCCCTGGCCCCAGCCCTGGCCCCAGCTCCTTGCTCCTGGGCCGATTGCTGGAGGCGTTCACCAGTTCTGCGGGCAGAGGGGATCCCTGCGACCATCCTGGGCTTGCTGTGCCCCAGGGCTTCCACCACCTCGCAGCAGCACATCTCAGATGCGGGTCAGTGCATGGCAACGGTCCTAGATGGGGAGCTGGTCTGTACCACCCTGCCCACAGTCTGCCCCTCCTGTCACCTGGCATGGCTCATGTCCCCACTGCCCACCCAGGCCGGGGGCTTACCCAGGTGCCTCCTGAGGGTGTCCACCTCCAGAGCTGTCTTCCAGGACTCCTCAGCTTTGCCTGCTGCTGACAGACAGAGCACAAGCACACATGCAAGATGGAGCATCGTTGGGCATCGGATGCCTCCTCCCTGGGCTGGGAGGAGCCCAGGTAAGAGCTCAAGCATGTGGGGCAGGGGTTCAGGATCCCCCAGGGCTCTGATCCAGAAGCCTTGGCTTCCCTATAGGCTCCAAGTGAAGCTGGGGTCTCGCCTAGCCTCATCGGGGCCAGTCCGGACTGATCTCAGAACTGCTCTGCACCCACACCGCACCTGGGAAATGGGGAACATGGCACTGGCTTCAAGCAGGATGTGCTGGTGCCTGTGTCCCATATACCCCCGGCACTGGGTTTCCCTGCTTATGCTGGTTACACCCCAGTGGGAGGCGCGGGGCTCGTCAGGGTGGTCGGAGGCTCGTCCTGGCCCCTGGCTCCAGCTGCCTGCTGCCTCTCATCAGCCAGGAGGGGCTGGGCTGCATTGGGATGGGGGGAGCTGAGAAGGGACATGGTGCATCCCTGCAGCCTGGGGGGCAGGACCTGGGGAAGGTTTCTGCCCATGCATGGGATTCCCGCTCACCTGCCGCAGGCTGCTTCTTCTGCTGCCTCCCTCCTTTCTTCCCCTTGCCCTTGGCCTTGGGGGCCATGCTCCTGGTTTGTCTGTGCGGAGAAGTGGACAAGGGGTATTGAGGCTCCCCCAGAGCTTCTCGGTGATGCTGCACGGAGGAGAGGCCAGATGGGAAGGCCACTTCAGCCTGGCATTTCCTGCACTGGCTGCAGGCATGGAGGGAACGGAGGCAGACCGTGCTTGCAGCTGGGCTGTACCATCCCCGGGCAGCACGGAAGGTAAGCAAGACCCTCAGAAGTCCTCTGCCATGGGGCACCGGGGGAAGCGCCCCATCCATCACTCACATCATCCCTCTAGCAGTCAACACCTCCCCCAGAGATCGCTGGGCCCATGCCACAGCTGGGGAAACGGAGGCACAGAAAACAAGGGTGGCGAACCCAGCAAAACAAATCAACCCAAGCCCTCCCCCCACAACATCCTGACTACCAGCGCGCCCTGCCCAGCCCATAGCCCCCCCACAATCCCTCCCAGCCTCCTGTTCTTCTGCTGTCTCTTTCCATTTGCTGCACTAAAACCAGCCACGTGCTGCAGCAGCTCTGCAAGGAGAAGAGGCTTGCAGATGATCATTCCCAATGCATCTCCCCCAACCTCGAGTACCTGGAAGCGAAGGGCGTCTTGCATGCGAGGCTGCAGATTTCCAGCAGGAAATGTAGCTGGCCTGGCATGAATGGCGTTGGGAAAGCCAATCAGCTGGGAAGGCACACGCAGGCTGGTGTCGGGGAGCCTATCCCGGCCTGGGAAAAGCCGGCAGCTTTGCATTGCTAGGCAGCAGGCTGCTGGCTGCTATAGTGACTGGGGAAGCTTGGCAGCCAGGAGCTGGGCTGCAGGGTCTGAGGCAGCCCCAGGGCTTGGCAGATCCCATGTCCTTTGCATCCAAGATACTGGAAGGGGGAAGGCTGTGCGTCGCAGCACAGCAGCTGGGCCAGGGTCAGACGGGCTGGCAGAGCAGCCCACGGCCGCACGCCTGCTCCAGGACCCGCGTGCACACGCAGCGTGGCAGAGGGTGACACACGTGCACAGAGAAACAGCTCCCAGGCTCAGATACGCACGTGCACGCACGCATGCAACCGCGTGGACTCGTGCTTTCTGTGTGTGTCACGTTTTCTGCGCGGAGGCCTTGCTCCTGCCCTTGGGGAGGTCAAGCGGTGGAGCCGGTCATGCAGAGGCCTGCTGTGTGACTGATCCCCTTCGCCTTTGCCTGAAACCCATCGGGATGTCTTCAACCTGCTCTTTCCCACGTGGATGGCACCTCCCCATGCTGCGACCTGCCTTGTTTAGGGCAGAGATGGGAGCATGTGCTTTGCCTCCCTTTCTATGTGGCCTGCTCTCCCTCTGTGCCTCAGTTTCCCCATGTGTCAGATGAGGGCGGGACTCCATGGAGCTCCTAGGTGACGACTCGAGCCAGATCCCTGGCTGGTGCGGGAGCCTGGCTGCTTGCACTGGCTGCAGGTCTGGCCCCATGTGTGTGAGCGAACCACCGGGAGCTTTGCCCGCGTGAGGGTGGATCGGGACTGACCCTGGGAGGGCTGATTCCGGCGATGCCCAGTGCCTGGCTCTGCAGCTGCTGCCTGGACCGAACCCAAAGGCCTTTTCCACCTACCTGGGTTCGCACAGCGTGGAGCACGATGGTGAGACAGAGCGCGGGGAACCAGCATGAGGCCAGCAGGCCGAGTGGCAATGGTGGCACGTGCTTGTGACTCTTTATTGCAGATGGAGTCTAGTCAAGCTCCCTGCAGCACAGCGGTCCCAGCTTGCAACGTCTCATACTGAGTCTCAGCTCCAGCTCCAGTCAGTTTGTGTTAATCTCACCTACCATTTAGCAGGTGAAAGGAAGTCACTGGTCCTCAGAGACGTGGAGAAAAGCCCGATCCCTGATCCGCGTGTTCAAAACGGTTGAAAATGAATACAAGGAGTCGATTAAAAAATAAAAACATCTCACAAGCTAGGGGTCTCGATTCTGATTTCGTGACTCAAGCTCCCCCAAGGCAATGGCACCACAGCCCTGCCCTTCACCTTTCTCCTTCCACAATCTCCCTCTAGCATGGGAGTACTGTGGTTTTGCAGGCTCAGGCCACCTCTGATGGAGGGGGAAGGGAACAGGGGAAGCAGAGAGATGAATTCCAGAAGGGCTTTTGCTTTCGGCATCGTTGTCAACCAGATCACCCCAAGGGACTCCGACAAGCTCCTGCACATTGTTCTTGAGATGCCTTATTAGCTGGCCGTCCTCGCTGTCGTCTGCAGCATTCAGAGGGAGATGGATGGCAGGCTCTGAGCTCTGTGCTGGAGCAAGCAGGTTTTCTCCCCGGCAGAAGAGGAGCTGCATGAAGGCAGATATGGCTCCACATGGGGAGAAAGGGTGTGTGAGATGAGACCCCAGACTCACCTGTTGCTGCTAATGCCTCCTGGTGCTGTGTCTTTGCTGCCCTCTTGGCACTTCCTCAGGCTTCAGGAGCACACTGATTCATAGATTCATTGATTGTAAGGCCAGAAGGGACCCTGGAAGATCATCAGGTCCAGCCCCCTGCACCAAGCAGGAAAGGCTCTTGCAAGGCATGATTATAGTAGTACCCCACTATGCCTCTGCGGGAAGCAGCGTGCCCTCTCTGTGGGTCCTGGTCGCTGCTTTTACGCAAAGCCTGCCTCTCAGGGGAGCTTAACTACATGTCCCATGCCGGGGCAGCGGAGACATGCTCCCATGGCCCTTTCCGGCCAGGAGCAGTCCTGTTCCTCAGCTAAGGGGACTCTGTGACAGCCTAGTTAAGTACCTACCCGGGGTCAGGGCAGGGCCAGGACAGGCAGAAAGTGGTGTGAAGAGTTCCCCTGAGGTTAACTCAAGTGCAGCTGCTCACACCTCTATTGGCAGAACCTGCCGAGTCAGGGAGGGCAATGCACCCAGGTCAAATTTTGGCTCCTATAGCGCTCGGAGGCGGAGGGCAGAAGCCCCGAGAACAGGGGAGAGCACAGATGCGATGAGGCTGCCAGATCAAAAATGGCACTGGGAGCCGAGCAGGGATGAGGAGAGGGAGGACCACACCAGCAAGCCCAAGGCCTGGAGGCACAGGATCTGTTGCCTTCTCCAGTCAACAGTTTTCCAAAGCCAAGCGAGCTCTGTCAGTCCCAGTGTGCTCAGCCCCAGGACGATAATGCCATTGGCCTGGCTCCACTTCTGGATTTTTTTTGTAATTGGAAAATATTTGACGCATAGAAAAAGGAACCTGGCTTTTCAAAATAGGGAACTGTTCCTGTTTTGCAACTTCTGTACAATGCTCGTGGCTGAGCAACCCTGGGGGAGGGATGGGAGGCTACTAATGAAGTGACAGGGGTCAAGGAGCTGGGTTGGAGAAGCAGCAAATCCCTTCTTGAGCGCTAGCTCTGTTGCCTTTGTAGAGGAACCGGAGCAGGCAGGGGATTGCCAAACCAGCAGCATCCGGGCTTTACACCAGGGCGTTCAGTGTGAACAGGCAGAAATCTCTCTGATGAATCCTTTTGTGTTAAAAAGTAGAGATTTGGCTCAATGGGGATGTTGCCCTGATTTGTTTTGCTTTCCCTGAATTGTTTTTCAGGAAAGAAAAAAAAAAAACTGGGAAAATACCTCCCTCCTCAAAAATAAATAAATAAATGAATAAATAAATAAATAATAATATATATATATTTGAAATGTTTTAAACAAAAGACACTGGTTATTCTTGTCGACTTCACGTTTCCCTCCTACATGTACATCACTTTGAGTAGGGTCCATTGATAGTAACGCTAAATAAAAAGCTCAAACAAATCCTTCACTTGCTTCTAAACCAGTTTTACCGTCATTTGTTGATGTGCCAAAAGGTGTGAAGGTGTTTTGATCTAGGACCGACTCTTCCCCCCACCACTATAATTGCAAACAAACCTCTTCCCTCAGGTTTGGCAGGAGCCCCTTTGAAATACATGCACAGGTGGCAAATGCATGGATGCTCAAACTGGAAACCAGGCTCCTGACTGCATGCAAAGGACCCAGTGGAGCAATTGGGCAGATGTTTGCCTTGAGGTCCTTGGTCTGCATGTCCCCTGCACCTCCTGACTTGGAGGGCTCTGGGCACTGACAGCAGCCCTCCATGCCAATGGGGCTCCGCTGCAGCGGGAACTGGGCATGGGGGATTTTGGTGGGATGGAGCATGCATTATGCTCAGCCATTTCCCCCCTGCTTTTGGTGGACGTGTCTCCTGCAACAGGCAGGAGAGGGCCCAGATGGTAAAAATCAGTTAAAAATATCCCTTTTATTTAAATCCGTTTTGTACAACTGCAAATTTACATGGGCCGAAGGCTTAACCTTCTTCCCATTTCATGGTCTTCACATAGATTCCGTTTATTCAGCTCTCCAACTCGCTTTCTGATGGGGGCAATCTGGGGTCTATGGGCAGACTGCGCTGTGTGAGAAGCCACACGATCAAAATCCTCCTTGGTGCCAAAACAGACAAGCCCAGGGGCCTCACTAACCTCATTTCTATATGAACATGCCACCTGTGCACCCAGTGGATGAGAAACTACCCCGCGGATGTGTGCCGTGGCCAGCAGCTCCCCATGTGTTGAATTCCCACAGAGCTGCAGTGCTTTCCCAGCCCAGCTCCTAGCTTGGACCCATATTCCCACACCCCCGGGTGCTCCTGCCCGGCCCTTCATTAGGGGTCTTCACAGGCCGTCCAGGAGCCCAATTTGGGGAGCTGACGTTTGCAGTGGATGTATCTGCCATTGCACAGTATGGCAGATGCACTGACAGTCTCAGTCTCCTGCTTGTTGTCTGTGGCAAACCAGCTTTGCTGTAGAGCGAGAGATTTCACCTTGCTGCCGGTTTCTGAGAAAAGGACGATTTATCCTGCAGTGCCACAGACACTTGTAAGCACAGGCCTGGGGACCTTCCTGGGAGTTCATGGTAACCAGCAGCTTCGGGGCCGATCCCAGCTGGCCTCAGCTTTCTTGTTCTTGGGCAGGGGTTTATTTCATATCCTTCAAGTCAGAGCCTGGAGGGGGGAAGGCATGAACCCCCGGGTGAGTCCACCCTCCTCCCACCCCAAAGCAATCGGGACACAGCTCATTGGGAAGGGCAGTGGGGTTCCGCAGGGCTCGGTCCTCGGGCCCGCACTGTTCAACATCTTC